CGTCTTACAAAACCTCGACGAAACACGCGATGAGCCGCGACGAGGATTTATCGAATACATTATGCGTACCGCATGTGCGTGAATTCAACTCTTTTTTCTCCTCCGTCCTTTTGACTCGCTGCTTCTTTTTTTTTCAAGTCTGCGGACACCGCAGCCAGGCCAGACGTAATTTCGATGACGCGAGTGTATACGAGTACAATTTATAATCGTCCCGCGGACCTCAAGGTCGAAGAGAATAAAATCGACACAAAGAACGATGCTTGGTGTATAGCGACGCCGTTAGAAAGTTTATTATGAGTTTTTCGAGTATTGATCAAACGTCGTATATGATGACCAAGACAATAACGTACGACATCGTTTTTCACGCACACAGAAGACATTTATTACATATGGAAATAATTGAGCATGCTAGGTACCTGCGATTGCACGAGGCATTACTAATTCGTGTGTATTCTCTCGGCGTGATCTCAGTGGCAAAAATTTTCTTCGTCAAAATAAATATTTTTCTTCAATTCGCGCTGATACCCACGCGAGCTCGTCCGTGCACGCGGCTACTGAAAATTATTGACATATTTTTTCTTGAAAATGTGCACTTGCCGTAGCGCAGGTGTGTGTGTGTGTGCACAGTGACTCTTCTTTCTTGCTCGGGTCACTCAAGAGATGCACGTATTACGCCAACACTTGTGATTTCTCAGAGATTGGCATGAATATATAAAGAATGATTCAAGCCAGTGTCTTATTTTGCCTTCGTAAAGGATTTTCTGTACATAGATGCGTATACAAGAGCTTCATTTTTACTCTTTGTACGAGCCAAGTATAGACTCGATTTGCACTTGCGCGTCAACGAAGAAAATAATCCGAATCAATGACAAATGAAAAAGATGTTCGGATCGGATCAATGACCCTTGCACGATGTAGGATCATTGACCGAATTTTAATTGGCCCGAGGTACTACTCTTCTCTAAATTTGTTTTCAAAAAGAAAGAAATTTGAAATTTAAAAGGCAACGTAACAGCTCGCACAATAATCATATAAGACTAGCTCGATTCAATTTTTGACTTATAATATTTACCTACGATCACTGCGCCCGCGTAACCTAATTAATATACGAGTACATTACAAGTGCCACGGCCCAAGCAGTCTGACAATTGATCACTTTCATATCAATCGTACACATGTACTTATTATTCAATTTCTAAGAATCGCATAAATTCTTTTTCGCTTGTGTGAGCTAGGGATAGCCTCCTCTCAAAGTAAACCTCTGAGAAGGTGCTATTTAACCGTGAACAGATTTTGAATATTTTGTATGATTTAATACCAGCACATGTAGCCAAGCCAATAAAAGTTTCGATTGTGCAATGTACTTTGTGAGAAAGAAATATTTTTCGGGTTCAAATCAAACGAAGAGATTCCTCTCTACCTTCAGAGTTAGATCCGATTGTACATTATTCGTATTATAACCCGGAGACAATTATACGTGAGATTTTCCGGTGGGATTCCAAGCATTAGCCAAATGATTTATAGATGTGTTAACGCGCCACGAGCGGTTACGGCAATGCCAAATTTGAATAGGATAATTTGCATGAAGAGGAAAAAATTCCCCACACGTTGCAGAACATCTTTATTTTGACGGGCGCTCCGAGTTTATTTTGTGGTGGCAGCATGATACAACAAAATCGTATGCATAGTGTACAATTCAAGCAAAATTTAAAATCATACCATTTTCTACGGTCAAATTTTTAATGCGAAAAAATGTCTCAAAAATCAATAACCAGTACGTTATACTATTAGCAGCAAAATCGAATTGAACCTGCATCGACGCAACAGTACTACAACTCCATGCAACGAGTCTCTTACAGAGTTAATCGAATTAAAATACCGTCCTCATAATCGAACGATATGCATTTATTGCTTGAACACTTAGCTACACATGAAGGTCGGGGTGAGCGTAACGAGAGTATTTACTTTTTATCCATCATTTATAGTGATTTTAATTCAACGCAATAATCGAGCGAAACAAATGACCTTTGGATTTTTCGCATTCTGCATATTAAAATATGCATACTTTATATGCGGTTTTTTGATTATTTTACATCTACACCATTGATGAATAATTGAATTTTGTTCCTGGGAAATTTTGTTAAAACATAGCAATAATTGATAATAATTGATTCTGTGAGTTTTTTTAACGGCCCAACGTTGTTACGGAAAAATAGTGAACGGCATCGATTTCTAATCTACTAAAACTACGTCATAATTGCTGAAAAATGCAACATCATCGTGATTGTCAGGCAAGGTCCCTGAATTAAAACTTAGCTCTAATTTCTTGTACTAATTTTGTTCAAAAAATAGCGAATAGTACTCACACATCGTTGTACTTTGTGTTAACATCATGTTATACTTATAACAAGATTTGATTTTGACGTGAATTTTGAAGATGTCCGATAATAATCATTTGGGTCAACACAGATCGAGTTACACCTACTGATCAAATGTTTTTTATCATTCGCGACAAATTCAATCTCAAGTACATCGCACGTGAAATTTGCAATAATCGACCGGGAAATCTAATTTCTATGCGAATTAAATAATGCATATAATTACTTGTGACGTAATGAACAAGTTAATAGACCAAAAATTAAATATAAACGAGGTAGGCGTGTAATCGTGGCCAAGTTTCCGCACGTATGAGTAACGACCAAAGCAAATTTTTCAAATATTCGTGTCTTGACACGTCTCATTAACGTGGAAAATAGACGCTACGAAGACCCACATGTGAACACACGTGCGCGTATAAACGTATTATTCAACTAAGATTGGCCCACGAACGGCGTACTTTCACCCCACCGTGGCAAATTCGAAAAAACTCATCGGCGTTGTTTTACCTCTCCGAGTAGTCGATATGTCATATCGCATTATGTACCTACTTGCAATGATCATCTACTGGGTCGGTAGATGCACATATCGATATGTATCATTGATAAACGAATTTCAGCGATCAATAGCCAATACCTATGTAGCATTTCTCAGTAAGGCCATGTAAACTTTCACTGAAATGTTAAAAGTAAATTAGGTTGTGTGGGTAAGCCTGGCTATGCGGCAATGATGAAACGTTCGCGTAAATCAACATTTATATAGCAAAGGTCACCGCGGGTAATTTGATAATCAAAAATAAATTTTTTTTTGTTCAATCGCGATTTTTCGCCTTTCATGAAAACGAGAAGGGGCGAAGAGAGAGAGAGCGAGAGAGAGGTTGTATTTCCGGAGACATGTTTGTGAATTCATATATAAGAAGACAGGAGAAAGGTTTTTTTAACATAGTTGTATAACTTTTTATTGAAAAAAAAAATCATCGAACTTTCTGGACATAGTGTTGAAATAATTTTTTGCTCGACATAAATTGGTCGATTCTTGCGATGTGTTCTAAAACTCGTTTTTTACGAAATATCTTTTAACTATACGTAGTACTTTGTATTTCTTCTTTTTTTTTATACGAATTTAAGAAGAAAATTATTTTTGTCTTGATTAGTTACTATAAGACAAAGGTTACGGTAATAATTTAAAATTAAAAATCACCACTATGGTTTTCTTTGCTTAGGAACTATTTTTGGAATTTGATTATTATTTTTGGAAATTAACTGCATATAAATGATGATGATGTACCATATAATCAAGTATGTAATCACTGCTACAAGTAAAATTCAAATTTTTATTCGAAAAAATCAAGGGCATTCGGTCAATGTACAGGTAAAAGGTAATAAATTGATTAACTCATCTCATCACACTTTAGCTGTATTTATGGGTATCATCAGTGATTATGATACTATTCGACATATTTACCAGCTTTCAGATGTTAATTTTTAAAATGATAATTGAAGTTGCACATCTTGCTTACTTCCTTGAACCGATATTGTGTAATTTGCAAATTTGGGCATCATTTCTTTATTATGTAATTATATATTTCTTAAAAAGTGTAGTTGATGCTCCTCGAAATAGAACATCTCCATTCGAGTTTTCAAAGAATTCATTTCATGAACTTGAAAGCAAAACTTATATAATTACTAAAAAAATCGATAATTCAAAAGTTTTTGTAAATTATATTTTTGAATGGTAAATTTATTTCTAAAAGTACATTGAACCGTGTTTGTTAATCATTTATTTAAAATGGCCCGACATAGCAACGATTGAAATGAAAAAAACTTGACTGGATTAAATTTTCAAACGTCATCGTTGACAATGTATCTGCTACGGAAAATTTATCAAAGAAATTTTAATTAGCTCGGAGCCAACGACAAATGCATGACCGGCCCACATTCCGACGATTGACATTCGTGTGCACGAACAAAAGATGGAATAATTAGCAACAAACGACGGGATTTCATAGAAACCTTAACATTTCCACTAAGTTCAAGAAGAAGAACACGAGCCGGAAGATATTCAGTGAAAAAAATTGCTGCCGTATCGACCAACTATAATGAAGATATTTAGACTTCGATACGCGTGATTGATAAATCCGGTCGCGCACTCGATCGATGTCGACTTACTTTTTTGCAACGAGCGTCGCGCTCTGCATTATATTAATAACAGCTTATATGGATGATTACTTTAAAAGCAAAGTCGGTGTGTTTTCCAAACACCATAGAAATGATGCGAAGACTTAATTCTCAGATAATGAGACCATATGACAAAATGTTTTTAAATATCATCGTGTGTTAGCAGAGTCTTTAGCAAGTGAATTTAAAAATGTCATTTACCAATGAATTACGTTAAATAAATGCTCGTTTTATAGTCATGGACAATGGCCAATGACCAAGAGAAGTGAGTCGCGCCAACTTTTCACGCACGCGATTGCGGTCCGTTGGCCGAATGGTCATAAAACCCGTCACTCGGCGCGCAGAAATACTCCAAAGCAGTCTGACAATGGCAGCTGCTCATGTAAACATCGAGTTATAACGTTGGCAGAATTGCACAGGTTTGCTCGACGGCCGACGCTCGTGTGCGAATTGTCATATTATTATTACGGTGGTACGCAGCATCCATGAGCGCAGTGCCTACTACAGCACTACATGTACATTACATACCTTCATATAATCATTCATATATAGCAGCAGTAGCAGCTCATCTCGGCATACCGAGCAAGTGCAGCCGATACATCGTATCCTATCAGACATTGAGGTGCATGTAAAGAGCGAGTGCGACGGAGAAAGAGAGAAAGAGAGAGAATATCCGCCGCGCGCCTCATCCACCTACGCGACTCGTACATGTCTGCAGCAGTCGATGTTCGATTTCATAGACAACATCAATACCTATAGACGAGGTTGCTCCGTTTATGTTACTGCCTAGTCAGTAGGCTGCTCCGACCTGCTAGTTCTGTGCACGATTGCGAACGAAACTTGTGCCGTTTCGTTGATCGTGCCCGCATCGAGTTTGAGTGACTCGTAGCAGCATTAGCAGCAGCGTGTTGTATACTCGTATCGCGTCCAAGTGCCCCACGACACCCAGTGCAAGCCGAGTCTGTGTATACTTGAAATATTGCGCGATTCTATACGGCTACATAGAGAGGCTAGCTACGGCCGCAAGAAAGTTGATTCGACTGTACGTCTAATGCGCAAGGTGCGGCTGCAGCCTGTATATATATCATAAAAAGGAGTGCGTTTAATCTCAAGACAAGATGTTGGCACTGATCAACAGAATTCTCGACTGGTTCAAGTCGCTTTTCTGGAAGGAGGAGATGGAACTCACCCTCGTCGGCTTGCAATACAGTGGCAAGACGACATTCGTTAACGTCATCGCGGTAAGAGGCATACATATCCACTACCTACGCACATACACAACACACTCGGACATGTACAAGCTTTTCGACAGTTCGAGTCTCAAAGCTGTGTAATTGTGCAGGTTACTCCCTCGTGAGAGTTGCAATACTTGGAATTATGTTTCCCTCCTCCAACCCCTCTATCGAGAAGCTAACCTGCTGCTTACGATCGTTCGAAAGCCAATAAATGCATGTTTTCTATTACTCATGATGCAGGGCGTAAATTGAAATTTTTGTATATTCATAACATATGACGAATATTTTTTCGGTGTGGGTGGCCTATCGAGATAATACAGGCATAAATGATTGCAGCTCGCGACACAAAAAGCACAGAATATGAGATCGTTTGTTTAGACACGTATGAGTATGTGTATTATATCAAGTCCGATGAATCATGAGAAATAATTCATGATGTATTCTACTGACTTCAGCAATAGGCACGACTGCCCGAGATAATGATTATATTGCTTTTCTTTCTTTGACAAATCGCATAATTTCTATGCTTCAGAGCCTGCTTCAATCTTTATCTTGAATTTTCAAAAGTCAATTTTTCCGAAAATAATGATTTTTGGTTACTAAACAATTTTCAATATTGATGCGTCGTTTGTCGTTAGATTATTTAAAATAATTAACTTTTACAATGGGAAACAAATTTTTATTTATTTTTAAATGCAGATTAAATACTGCTATGTTGTACAACTCACTCAGATTGAAAAATCACAAACAAAGCAATTTATTTTTTTTTCTTTTTATAAATGCATCATAATGCTAACTGTATGAGTTATATAGTTCAAAGTGAATTAAACTTTTTTATGTCACTGTCACTGATTCAAGTTGAATTCATACAAATTGTATCAATTGTGAGCTTTATCTTTCTCTAAAAATTTAAAATGAATTAAGTAAATACTGCTGACATTAAAAATATATTTATTTCAGTCTGGAGCTTTCAGTGAAGACATGATTCCTACTGTTGGCTTCAATATGCGTAAAATTACAAAGGGTAATGTCACGATCAAAGTTTGGGACATTGGTGGTCAACCAAGATTTAGATCAATGTGGGAACGTTATTGTAGAGGAGTCAATGCTATTGTATATATGGTGGATGCAGCAGATCCAGAAAAAATTGAAGCCAGTAGGAATGAACTGCATAATTTATTGGATAAACCTCAATTGGCAGGCATACCAGTATTAGTTTTAGGAAATAAAAGAGATTTACCACATGCTTATGATGAAAATGGACTCATCGAAAGAATGTGAGTCTTATTTTATTGTCTTAATATAAAATAATCAATTTTTTGTCTTATGCCATGTACTTCTTTTCTACAGGAATCTATCAGCAATTCAAGATCGTGAAATTTGTTGCTACAGTATTTCATGTAAAGAAAAAGACAATATTGATATTACATTGCAATGGCTCATACAGCATTCGAAAAGCGGTGCTCGTTAAAAAATGGAAAAAATGTGTAGTGTCTTTGAAGAATCAATTTTGAATCAAACAGGTGAGATGATTAAAACGACGAATGAGTTATTTTATATTTTGTGAGAATGCCAATGAAATCGACGAAAGAATATTAATCATGATTCCAACTGTGAATGAAATTATTACTCAAGAAAATCTGCTCTAGCTGGAAACCTTTTACTCATAAGGTCTAATATGTAAAAAAACTTATGAAATTTGAATTTATAAAAAACAATATAGTCAACTCAATTTAATGAAATGTGGTAACTCAGTTGAGGAATATTTAAAAATACATGTAATATTAATTATGAATAAAGTAAAATTTTATATTTTTGTTTATGAGTACGTAAGTCTAACAATAACTGGTGTTTTAGTACTGCTTTGATTTAACATTATTAAATGAAATAATCAGTGTAACATGAAAATGAAATGAATTATTTAAAAAAATAGCCGATAACAGTTATGGAATGGAATTAAGAGGCATACACATACCTTGATCTTGCTGCTAAATAAAACATAAAAGTGGATTCCATAAACCTTTATAAGCCAATACTTCTACATTTGCAATTGACCAAACTTGACTAGTTAGCATTGTTTTTTTTCTAGAAGAGCAATTGTTGATTATTTGAATTGAATATATATAACATTATATAATGAATTAACATGCTATGTATGATTATTTTAAAAAAGCTTGAATAAATTAATTATATATATTTTGTAAAAATGTTGAAGTAAAGGTAATGTAAGGTAGTGTAAAATGCCTTTAACAGTCTTAACCACGCATGAATTTATAATGTATCTGAATGTTTGTTCATATGATAGAAACATGTTGCAAAGGATTATTTTACGATCTGCAAAAGTCTTGTGACTGTTGTGTTATGTATATACATATATATTATATAAATGAAGAATTCTGTGTACTTCTTTTCTTCTATGGAATAGCAAACAAAGTATCATGTGGCTGTTTTATAATTATTAAATGCATTTTCATTTATGAGTACATGTTTATTGATCAGCTATTATAAGTTGTGAATTTCAATTTTAATTAAAATACCAAGAATTTCACGTTGACTGCTAATTTTATTTACTCTCACTTTTCATGGTCTATTTTTGTTAATTAAAAAATATTATTTTAAAAATATGAATATTAGTTCAAAACTAAAGTACGATTTTTTTATCACAAAAGGCCATTTCTTTAAAACCTTATTTTGTCAAATTACGCGCCAATTCCATTTATGTTTGTGTGACCCTGATTGGCGCAGTTGCCTCATGGAGTTATCATCTGTAAGTAAAAACGAAAATGTACACAAACATATAATAAAGACCCGGAAAAAGTGTCTAAAAGCTGAAAAGCCGCAAATGTGTTGTGCATGTTGTTCTGAAGTTTTGTTGTGACAGACAAATTTCATCAATAAAAATGGTTAAATTAACGCCGGAATTAATTCAGCAATCTATGCAATATATTAATCCGGTCAGAGATCGTGAGCTTGATCTCAGAGGTTCGTAAAAACGAGATTGACATAACCTTGAAAACATTGAAGTAATAATAAATATAACTTTTATAATAGAATAAGATTTATGCATTACTTTTTTTTGCAGGGTATAAAATTCCAGCAATAGAAAATTTAGGAGCCACTTTGGTAAATTGAATTGATTTACAAAAAACTTTCAACACCTTTTATATGTTACTTATATATATATTTTTTAACTTTATTTTCAGGATCAATTTGATACATTAGATTTTTCAGACAATGATATTAGAAAATTAGATAACTTTCCTTTACTTAAGAGAATCAAAACTTTATTTTTCAACAACAATCGTATTGTTCGAATTGCAGATGGTTTAGAGAATTGTATACCAAATTTAGAAACCCTCATGCTAACAGGCAATCAATTACAAGAATTATGTGACATTCAACCTTTATTTGGACTTAAAAAGCTCACAACCCTTTGCTTGCTACAAAATCCAGTTTCAGCAAAAGCACATTATAGGCAATACATCATTTTCAAAATGCCAAATTTAAAATTATTAGACTTCAAGAAAATTAAAATGAAAGAACGAGAAGAAGTTAATGAATTTTTCAAAAGTCCAAGAGGCAAAGAAATCGCAAAGGATATCACTAAAAAAGCTAAAGCAATATCACATGGATCAAATAATGTAGACAGACCACTGATGAGTAATGAAGAGAGAGCTAAAATAAAAGAAGCCATTTCTAATGCTACTTCTTTGGAAGAAGTTCAAAGACTTAGCAAATTACTCCAAGCAGGTCAGATTCCTGGAGACAATAGACATCAGAATGGTAAGAAATTAATTCATTTGCGTTTAGTTTTAAATTTTGTAGTTGAAAAAGTACTGATTTTGGAAATTTAAAAATATCTTTACATCTAGTATTTTTATGACTATTTAAATGTAAAATAACCTAATAATACTTTTATATGTACTCAAAGGTCAAAGGATAGGTTGATGGTGTTCTCAACTACCCTATAATTCTTCATTTTATTCTGTCTATATTTTGATATTTTAATTTATATATTATTCTAATAAATATTGCTTTCAAATGTTTAGGAAATGGAACCACAGAAGAAATGGAAGAAGAAGAAGACTAGATTGCTTTCCACCTTTTTATACAATTGTGTATTAAATAATTAATTTAAGTATTAAAATGATAAATAAATGCTCAAATATCAAGCTCATAAAATTGAGTTTACTACACTATTGGTTTTGAAAAAAAAATTTTGATTGAGCCAGTCATGCTATTTTTCTGTTATAAAGAACTGAATGTATATAAAAACTTGAGAAAAATAAAAAGCCTGGGTCCTGAAGCGAAAATTTTTACCATGTTTCAAAAAATGGTTTTGAGGCTTAGCATAACTTATTTTTCTCATTTTTCAGATGAATAATGAACTATTTGATCGAATAAATTTGTAATAAAAAGTCAAATTTTCATGTTATTTCACCCATAATTTCATCATTTACCTTTTTAATAATTGAATGAAAGAAATTTTTTACGGAAATTTGAAATGAATTATTACATAATTTCACGGTCGACTGAAGCGCGCATGCGTCAGTCAACTTGACTCCTGCTCCAGAGCTCGAGTCGTCTGCAAAAATATAGAGAAAAATATTACATTTTTAATCGAAAAAAGGAATAAAAATGGGCAATCTTTTACTCCGAACCTGGGAACAATCGACGGATCCGGAGTATCAACCCAAATATGATGCGCCACCCTCGTTTGACCCTCATCTTGGGTTTCAAGGAAAGAGGGAAGAAAGAGGCAAGTGTATAACCTTAGTGAATCTAATTTGTTAATGCATTAATATTTAATTGATTTTGTTTACATTAATACGAATCAAAAACCAAAACTATAACGAGTGGCGTTAAATGTTTAATTTTGTTGAATACGGTTTTTTATAAATTATCCGAGAGTCATCTCAATATTATCGTGACATAATCGTGAGCGAGTGTATACAAGCCAACATAATAAAAGACGTTGAGTTTACAGTGCGCATCGATACGACTATGGCTTTGACATACGTATATCTTTGATGTACAAATAAAGATGATGAATAAAAATAATTTTCTTCAAATGTTTTTAGATTCATAGTGTTTTATATAAGCTTATAAATTATTAAAAAAAATTGTTAAAATCATATTATTATGAAGTTATCATAAACTCATTACTTTTCTTCTCTAATTAGTAATGATTGCCACCGAACAAGAATTAAGAGCAGCAAAAATTCCTAAAGAGGATTGGGACTATTGTGCTCATCATCGTCTTGATCTTGCTAGATGCAGAGCTGATGTATTCCCATTTGTTTGGAAATGCAGAGATGAAGCTGCTACAGTGAGTCACTGCCTCAAAGATGAGTGAGTTTCTTTTATTATGTTTATATCTTAATATTATATTTGTTTTTGTGCTGCCCCAACCTAAAGTAACATTTTACTCCCACTGAGCGAAATGAAAATGTTACTTTAGGCTGGGGGATTCACCAAAAATTGTATTTGCACCTATGTAGCGAAAATATAAAGTCTCAGAGCACATGACTATCAGCCTCGGATGATAAATTGCATGTGCTCTGAGACTTTCCAGTTTTTCACTCCCAAGGTGCAAAATATACTATTTTTAAAACTAATAATATTACTACATCAAAATTTTTGTGTAAAGTTGTTCATTCACTGTAATAAATATATTTCTTTTTTTCAGTTGGATAATAAGAATGAAAGAATATGAAAGAGAAAGAAGATTATTGCAACGAAAAAAAATTCAAGATCAAGCAGCTGCTGCTTAAAGTTCTCATAGACATAGATCACTCAAACCTTGATTTGTTACAATTTTAGAGAAAATAAAGGATGGCTTTTAATTTATGCCCATTAATGTACATATATAATTGTTATTAAAGAATAAATTTATGGATTAAAAATTGTTCTTTTGCAACTATATATTAATTCACCATGATTGATATCTTTTAAGTGCATTAAATTTCAAATATTTTCATGTTATTTATTTTTTGTAACTACGTTTTCTTTCATAAATCTTCCATAATATAAATTTATAAAACTAGACTTTGGAAAAACAAAGCAATAGATTTATATTTGCAGTTGTTAGCAATGCCTGATAATCATTGATAATTCGATATTTTTACAATTTAAAGAGTCTCTTCATTGATCCAATAACTTATTCTTTAATAGTATCAAGGATCATAAATAATACTTAAACAATTTTTTCAAGCTAGCTTTTTAAATTGTTACTTTTATTTAAGAAATTTAATTGTTTAAATTGTAATAATAATAAAATAGGAAATCAAATAAATAAGTAAATGTTTCTATGATACGAATCAGCATGACTGTCGGATGATTTGAGGCACATTAAAAGACAGCTATTAGAAATGAAATTTTGCTTGATCGCACGTATCAGAATTGCTGAACAATTGCTCTGCATCTCGCGCGGTCAGCGAACCCCTGACACCACGGCATCTCGCGTGCCGATAGGTGGTGTGCGTCGTTGTGCCTCGCGCGGCGCGGATCGATACATAAGGGTTCGCCTACTCCACGCAGACGAATTTCTCTCTCGTGCATTTTATATACCGAGAGGCACTTCATATCCATAGTGTTACTTCAGTCGCGTAAGTTGTAAGCGGCGCGTAAGCTCGCCACTTGCGCCCTGCCGCAGCGGCTTGTGCGGCGAGGCCCTGCATCCGTGCACGATACGCTCCTATTTATGTGATATTTACGCTCTACTGGTGTCTGCTTCCTCATCCCGTAGATTAGTGTCTTCGGTGTTTTATTCCTATAGAATTTACTTCCGTTTCTCGGCTTCGGGAGGGCTCCGTATCAGATGCAATGATGAGAGACCGTGCGGGGGTGTTTATGTACGCGCTCTTCGACAATAAAAGCCTTTAACGAGGGCTGCCGGCCTCAACAGTATATTTACTCGATTTATTATTATGGACGGAATTGAGATTCACTTTTTAAAAATTTTATCGCATTGCGGATGAATCGATCGCTGCAGAGTAACTCTGCTCTAAACACAACAGGTGAGACTAATTCATTGCAATTTTATGCCTTTGATACGAGTATGTTTTTATATGGTCGTAGCGATCAGTTGTAGAAGCGTGCGCTATAGCTGTATATATCCATTTGTCTGTACAACTGCACAGGGTGTCCTTTTGAAAAAGGAGCCTCATATAATGTGACAATTGTCCAATAAGGTGTAAATAAATAAAGAAATCATACGAATATTAAGTATTTAATTCAAATTGTGAGTGTTATAAGTACAAAACTTAGTTTGTAATAAAGTTTTCCAGATTATTTCAAAGCAAAATAGATGCATAAAAAAATAATTCATACAGACGATTTTTTTAACCATTAAAACTATATTATCAAAAACCAAAGTGTAAATGATATTCAATCAATACTCTCATTTTGTTTGAGAAATACTCCAGAAATTATTACAAGAGATATTTATATACACTATACACGTGTTTTGGTTACATATATAACATGAGTTTGGCTTTTACATTCATATTTTTCTTTTAAATCAAATATATATTCTTATAATAGTTGTTGTATTGTAAAAAAATATTTTTAAGTTTGAATATTTTTTACGAGAAATCTAAAAACGTTTATTAACGTTTTCCTGAATCCAGTTGCATATTTTTACACTTGACATTTTGCGTATGCAAGGACTCATTTTGTCAATTTGTTACATTATGAATTGCTTTTAAGTACAGAAAATTATTATTTAATTATACATTGGTGTATATTTAAGCTATTTTAGGTAATTGTAAGTAATTTATACGTACAAAATTTAAGTAGTTCTTATTGCTGTTAAACAATTTTGTTTTCTCTATGAATTTAAAAAAAATGAATCGAATTAATTTCTTCTGAGAAATTGATTATGTCCTTCCACAATTTACAATTGAAGTTACGTCGATGCAATTTTATCTATATAAGATTAATTTCTATTAATCAATGAAATTTTGACCCGTGGAAAAAAATATCCTCTTCTTTTTATCTTCTATGTACAAAATTATAAAATATTAAACACACCGCTACATGCTACGAGATAAAAAAATACCTTAAGCAACTTATTTCGTCAATACGAAAGAAAAAAATCATGATGCGTATCTATAAATCCACGATTACAGGCTGTCCTTGTACTTTACATGAACAATTATTACATAAAATTATTGACTATAATTAACGAACATCAACCTATTTTTTGATACCTATACAGACTATTGTCGAAAAAACATTTTTTTTCTTTAAAATTGCACATTTGAGAAAATCAAATGCTCAATTCAATACAAACTTTATTCATAAAAGAATATCTAAAATTGAGCAAACATCACGACCCATGACTGATTACTAATCGAATATAGGAAAGTCACAGAACAACGGAATCGTCTAATAATATGGCGTACTCGGTTTATCATGATCGGAAAAAGGATGTTCTTCACGAATTTTCCGCTACTTACGTAAAAAGAAAACATTGCATACAATTATACAGTCACAGGTATGCATATATTACAGAGAGAAAAAAATAGAGAGAATCATTTCTTCTCCGCGTGTCTTGTGTTTTCTTCATCCTTTAATCGTTCCTATCTACAAATTATTAATCACGCGCTTGAAGAGCGGAGGAATAAAATTAGCGAGCTGCTCGATTCGATCGAAAAGTTCGTACCTTCACGAGGACTAGATCGCGAACGAAAAAGGCTGGAGAAAGGCGCGTGCAAAGCTCGATCCCTTGACTCCGTCAAGAGCATCAGTCATCGATTCTTCGCGCCTTTGAAATAATATTTCTTTCTTTTTCTACTCTTGTTTGCCGTCATAATGCCCAAAAGTGACCTCATTGGCTCTGAACAATGGCAAAAATATCTATCTCCTGTATCTTTTAAATTATAATATCGTAATTTTTCGTCTCACGCAAATCTCGTTTTGCTTTGCGGTCGAGTCAAAAAGGTCACTTTTGGTAAGGCGGTAGTGGCAGAAACAACAGCATCAACAAATACGGAATTGTCGATTCTCGTCCTCTTCTTTATTTGGCCTTCTTGAGTCTTGCCTGCTCCTTGCGATAGGCCGCCAAGTAGAAGTCGTAGAACAGCACGAAGAAGATCGTTGAGTGGAGAAGAAGGAGCGAGGCGATGAGCTTCGGGTAGCCGCAGTCGAATATCAGGGCTTGGGCGCTGTGCACGAACACCAGGAAGAATTGCACCTGCAATCGAAGGAAACCGGAAAGGGTGAAACGATTTTTTGTCATTACCAATGCCGATTAATCGATAAAAACTTCATTCCATCGATCTTATCAGCGCACGTAAACTTTATAATGAAAAACTCCTGCGTTATTAAATATTCAAGTCATTCAACTTTGGAGTTGTTGATTATAATAATTTTTTATGCTATTTTCAAAAAACATGATAATATTTTCAAGCTGTTTAAATTATGATCAATTTATACAATGATCGTTGGCATTTTTTTACAAAGAAAATTAACGATGCTCGACGATTGTCTTGAGTGTGTAAATATAAAGATGACTCTTATATGGTTGAGGCGATGGTTTTACTGAAAATATACATAAAACTTTCACATAGAATTGAATAAATTTTAGCAAGAACCTGGCCTTGACTTATCACTACATGTTTTATACGTCAACTGTTAATTTGATGAAATTATTCAATGATGAAGTTAATCGGTAAAATTTTCCAATGCTCTTTAATGACAATGAGATGAAAGTTAGAAATTAAAAATGATAATATGTTCTAACGAAAACAACAAAAAAAATCTAAAAATCATCGTGCAAATGGTCGTAACGTTAACGTCCGTAATAATTGAATAGGCCATTATTCGGCATTATTCAAGTAGAAGTCCAATTCACGCGAACAGTATGAAAATTATATTATGCAAGCGAATTTCTGCTTAGGTCCTAAATGACGCGCATTGAAGTATTCGGACGCATTAATATAATGTGTACGCGAGTGACGTATTCGGTAGCGAAATTATGTCATTGTTACATGGTTGTGTACGTGCCGCTGATGACGGATGTTTTTTTCTTTGACTTTTTATTCTCCGGTACAGTTGAGTCTCGGTACAACGAAATTACGAGTAAATAATAATCGATTTAAGCACGCGCAGGTGTAGCGAATAAACACTTCCTCATTAAAGTATCGTTCAATCATTCGAAGATCAAAAAATAGTTCTCAATGCAATTGAGAAATCGACGATGAGAAAAAGATCGCAAAGTGTCCAGAGAAGTCCTTTGTCGTCAGGTGTAGCGTATAGTAAAATAAAAAAATGAAAAAGAAAAAAAAATAACTAACAAAAACAGGCATTCGTTCCATTGAGCAACGAATTCGTACGAATCATCGATCTCCTCGCGATTACTCACGATCTATTTTTTTGACCTGAAAAAAGTAGCCGCGCGATTCCAAAATTCGATCGAGGTAGCAAAAAAAAAACATCTCTCGAAACTGAAACTTCTCGAACGGCATCGGGACTAGTGCGCGCGCGTGTATGCCGCGCGATGTCATATTCTCGACGATCGACCTACGCGTTTTCGCGCTGTACGACGGAATGCCGTCTTATATGCCGGTTGCGCCACGTATACATACTGGCATAGGTACGCGACGACGATACGCATTAACAACAGGTCCGGTTGGGCTGCTGCATACATACGAGGCTTGCGCGGCACGCACACACATAAACAGTGCAGAAAGAGACCGGTAATAGGCCAGTAGTAGCAAGAGCGGCGATACTTTGCGCGCACTTTGCCGCTACGCCGTACGTCGAGAAAAACCAATTGCCCAATGAGCTCGAGAGCAAGAGCCAGTGCACACACACTCGCGCCGAGTCGCGTGCTAAATGCGTTGACTTTTCACTTTTATATTCGTGTACCGCATCTGCTCTCGGCCAAACAAAAAACAAACTTCATCGACTTTTTCTAATCCGTTACATTTTCATTTTCTATATACTTCAATCCAGATAATAATTACATATGTTTTTCGCTCGTACCCAGCTTGCGGTCTGCGCACGGCATATTTTGCAACGGAGCAGAAAGATGCTCGAGTCCGATATAAATGAAGTTGAAAACATGCAATTTTACGCCAAGCCGAAGATTCACTTCAAACGAGAAAACGCTAATCAATGCGGTTACCGTATGAGCTATGAAGTTAATTAGGAGTGAGCAAAAAACGAGCTTACATAAGAGCGACTGTCTTGATTATAATATTTTCAGCCCTCCGTATCGACCGAGTTTTCGAGAAAATTTGAGAAATCAAACTTTTGCTTCTTTTTACACGAAATTTTTTGCCCAATTATTGCATTTAATCAAGGCGAAACGGTGAAATTAACTTTGATATTCGGCAAGGCGCGAATTGCTTCAACTTGAACCAACGAACTGAAAAAGATCCGCTGGTTTTCATCCAATGAAATCGGCCGTTTATCAAATCACCACAAAGGTTGCGCACTTAGTTTCCAATTATTTTCCGTTAAGTAAATCATCGTTGCAGTCACGCTCGTCCGTTTAGGTGTGAAAAAGTGAAAACCTCATCCCCCAAAGTATAGCTCTTGTGCAGTATCCCATGCACACACATATTATCTTCATTTTCGCAATCATTATAAGTTTATATGTATATGTTTGCACAGAGACTTTTTGCCTCACCGCTAATACTAATACTAACTCTCACGCATATGTGTGTGTGTGTATGTGTATTCAAGTAGCGCGTCCTTGAGAATGGCTCGGACTCGGAGATAGGCGATTCGGAAAAGCGGGCGCGCCGATTGAAAATCAGCCGCTCACTTTTGCGCCAACAAAAAATCTGGCCTTTTTCTGCAATGCCATTCGAGCCGCTGCGCGACGCGAGTAGTAGTAACATTATCATTATTATTATCGTCGTTACGCACAAACGCGTCCGAGCGATAAGTCGCGGCTATTAACGAAACCGATAATTGAATTAACCGAATTATGAAAATCAACGAGTCTTGGCTTTTAGAAAATGTTGCCATTCTGCACATGGATAATAAAGCAGCCGATTGATATGGTTGCGATGGTTACCTCGGCCATGTCAAATGGATTTTAGATACGCAGAATGCAGCTACACGCATATTATCCTCGGTAAGGGTATCAAATTATTTCGGCAAATTACAAAATGATTTTTAATTCGACTTTTTCCTAGTGTGGTTTCATATTCGTTTTAGATTATCACCTATAGCAGATAAACTGAATGTCAAGTGTTGGCAACCTACACATTATAAAGTTGAATTTTTACAAAACATTAATGAATTCTGAGTTCCAGTTAAAAATTGAAAGTTATGTGACGAATGCGCTGCAGCACTCGCGCGAGTACTGGAAAAATGAGAGTTACGGTTTGCGCCAAACTCGTTTTTCCGAGTATTTCGTTCGTCGACTCATTCGCGCATACGAGCTTGGACGGTCTATTCGTCACTTGTCGATAATCGCAGATTTTGATGCAGTATCACGCGGAGAGAAAAAAAGCCCGAACGATGCAAGAGAATGTCGGAGAAAATTGTTTTTGCGATGATGTTGATGATTATGTGCGTTTGTGAAAAAGCAGACAAAGGAATTATCGTTTATGAGTATTGCGATGATAAACGTCGATCTACGGTGTAAGACTGTTTAGCGCGTCGTACGGGTAATTGTCAGTGTCCCTCTGCACCATCACCGCATACAATAATCCGTGTAATCTTAAGAACGACATCGTCCTTGTAACTTACGGCTCTCGTAGACCTCGCCTCTGCTCGGCTGAACTTTTCGTGGAAAATTTTTGCTCCGAAGCGAGATAAAAAGGCGACCAGAGTCGTTGCTAACTTACCAGCTGAATGGTGGTGAGGTGTTTCTTCCACCAGAGGTACTTCTGGTACTCGGGTCCGGCGGCGGACAGCATGTAGTAGCAGTACATGATCACGTGGACAAAGTTGTTTATTAGATTGCCAAGGGTGCCGTGGCCACCGGCGATGAATTTAACGCAGACCCAAGTCTCTAGGGGCGTCAGCGAGTGGTGATACAGATGTAAAAACGTCACTTGACTGTCCTTCTTGCGCAGAACGAAGAATATCTGTCGGCAGGAGGTTTTATATATACATTCTGAACGCTAATGGCAATTTTTCATCATTTCATAAGGATCATCTCCTATGAAATTCCTACGAGAAAGAAAATTATTTTTTTAAATAACACTTAAAGCTAGTAGCGATCGATGGAATTTCCTCTTAACGCTCCATAAATAACGTCATTTTTATTCGCGTAAGATGTTTTGCTGGCAAAAACATCAACGAAATTTCACAATACTCGCGCACTTGTTGGACATAATGAAAATGATCGATTCACACATAAATTTATGTGTACATCAAGCTGCTCTTTGTACGCATCGTTTACGCATCTCGTTCGTGGACATCTTATAAGAGCACGCAGATTTTCGAAATACATAAGTTCTTAATGTATATTGTAAACACATATGCGAGGATCTTTTAGATGCTATAGACCGACATTCAAAATGTTGTAAAGAACCGATGTGTTCGCATCAGCCGGTTAATGCGCTCATTGCTGATAATCATTTAGATTTTTCATGATTCAAAGGTATTTTTTCGGCGTTATTATTTTTACCAAAGAAAAAAGATGCCGAGCATTGCGTATAATATATTTTACTTGTGATTCTTAAGTATGACAGAATTGAAAATTTGCCCAACGAGAGCGCACGGAGATGTCGCTGTTGCAACGACTGGAGACAAGATTACTGTCTGCAGAAGTATATTCATGGACGTGCAATATCGACATAATACATCCGTGCGCGGGTGTCAGTCTGCGTGTGCGGTCATACATTGCAATGGCAAAAAAAGTAGTCAATTAGATTATTCAAAGCGTTACAACGACAGCAGCAAAAAATAATATGATAGATACAAAATCGCGTTTACCAGTGTAAAAACAAACTTAAACATTGTTTTCTGACAAGATGAGAAAATAAAATAAAAATGACTTTAAATCACGTGTAAAAAAATTGCTATTTGTTCCGAGCAATCAATCTTATGACAAATTAATTATTCGTGTGTCATCTATATCATGGAGCAATACACCCATGAAGGAGAGAAGATATGCATAAGATTTTATCTCTTTGAGAAAGTCTTATAATCTCGTGCTATATGTGAATGTATCTATTTAAAAAAAGTGACATCGCACATAGCTCAGATAAAAAAGTCATCACGCAAACTCTTTTCTAATGATGGTCGCTGACGTGATCTATTTATTACAATTATTAATTTTCCGTCTCGAGACAGAAAGAAAATGTAAAAAGGGATATGCGCGCATAGTGTCTCGAGTGTCTTACCGTATCAGCAAACTCGGTGAACTTGCTGATGAAATACCACCAGCAGAGATTGGCCATACGCAGCGCCGAAGGGTCGTGCGAGTAGTCGACTGGTTGGCACTTGTAACTATAGTCCAGCAGCCATCCCGACATCAAATGCTGCAAGCAGAAAGTTAAATGAAAAACTCATTGATAACAAGTATAAACATATGCACGAGTCGATTGGTCAGATAACGATGTGTACACATTTATTGATTTTGGGTCAAGGTATTTATGACGAGCGTTTGGGTGGAAGCAAATGGCGAAGAGACTGCACCCTTTCGCAAGACGGCACGGAAAATACATGTATATAATTTGGCGCTGAATAAACACACGTGACGTTTTTTCCCTCTCTTTCTCTCATTTTACACATGTACATGGCTAAATTGTTTGCAATGAATCTATATTATTGTGCAAGTTGGAAAAACTGGACTTAACGACAATTTCTCTGAAAAAGTCCTCAAGAATATGTTTTTGGTCAATTGAAATTGATTTTCAATTATGTTAATTTTATTTTTCAAAATAAATGATCAAAAATCGAATATGGCAACCTGGCCCTGATAGTTTAGGTGTCTGTTCTTCAATTTTTTGATTTGCTTAGTTTGGAAACCACATTTGAAATCTTTACAGAATCTATACAGGATCGACCATGTCAAAGTAAATTTTATAGTGAATAGCTGATAGAATCAATGCCTTGTCGAACTACACTTAGAATATGCATGAAAATAAATTAAAAAAATAAAATGCGATGATAATCATGAGGAGAACGTGTCATGGTAGTTCTGCCATATTTGTCTGATGGAACGCTTCTTCATATATTACTGTTTACAAGTGTGTATGTATACACGTTCATTTTTTCGTAATTGTTGAATTAGCCTTGCTGTCTGTGAGTTATTGAATGTATGTACTAAATTTATCATAAGCATATATATATGCTGAAAATTATCGCATTTCATAGACTTGACGATCGTTTGTATGAAATAAACGACAAAATAAAGAGGATAATTGTAAATGTACGTGACATTTTGCATGTCCTCTTCGAGTCGTTCACTGTGCAAATTGGTAGTTTCTCTCCTTTTTATTTCAGTTTGTTTTGCCAGCTATGTTTAAAAAAAAGTTATTTCCAGATCCATGAACTTAAAGATAATATTAATAAAATTGGTTCCGAACAAATAAGGTCAGATGAAAAGAAAAAGACACAAACATTTTGTTTAGTCATTGAACAAAAATAAACATGATTAGTAGCAAATGAACCCTGGTATTTGACAAATACCATATTCACAATGAAAATGATGGAAAATTCGTTAAAATTTCGGAAGCGAAAAATAAATTTAGTTTTTAATATAAAAACGAAGATTCGTTAACTGTGACTAGTGACTCTTTTAGAGAACTCAAATAATCTAACTGCATTTATTAAATGATTGTTTATTATCAATTTTATAGAAACTAGCCACTTTACTCGCACCCTTAATTCTACATATTTTTTCGCGACTCACTTACGTCTCCTATGAGAAATGGAATGGAAAATTGCAGCATACTGTCAATAGGTGGAAAACTGATAAATTTCTTCGCATCAGTCCATCAACCAATGAGAAAGATTATAAGCTATTCACGCTGTTTAACTCACTTTTTAAGAGAGATATTATTATGGTAAACGAGGCTATATTTGTATCTATGCACTTACTCATGTTAACAACTATTTTACCACAATTACAGGTATTTTCTTTTTATTTGCTGGATAAAAAATTACGAAACGCTTGGATGCGAATTAGACGTTTAAAAGAAAAAAGTGCCAAAATAAATAGCGAATTTCTCCTTGATGCATATATTACTCCATAATAATTATGAGAATCAATGCACGATGACAATGTTACGTTCGCGAGGAAGTCACAGAAATCTTTGTGGAAAAAAATACATTGCTCTACAGTAACAAAAGTTTCACCAATACTAATCAATTCTTTCATCACCTCTCTCTCTTTCTGGCGCGAATGCGATATTTCGAATTCAGCCAAATGCGCGAAATTATTATTTCTCATGGCGTAACGACCTTGCACCACGAGGCTGTAAGTCATGTGGCGTATATATACAAACGTGCAATAAAAAAAGAGGGGAAAAATCAGGTTACTCTCTTTTCCAGTTAAATCGGCTGACTGCCGATTTCTAGCTCCATGTGTGTGCTTGTATATTTCGCGCGTGAGCACAATGCAGACTGCTGCATCAATATTTGCCAAACTAGGCGAAAATCGCTTGGATGCCATTTATCAGGATATCGCGTGCAATTCGCCACTTATATTCTGTAATCGGCCAACTATTGAGCAATTAAATCGTTAACTAGAGGAGCTACATATCATAAATACGAGTAAGAATCAAAGCTCTGCTTTTCTTTCAAGATGCACCTCCTTTCTTCTCCGACGCGAAATCGCTGACAGGAGCTTCTTGAATATACACATAAATAAACTGATGAAATTAGTCATAAAATTGACATAATTAAAAATTATTTCATGAGTAATAGCACTAACGCGTTACACAAGGTGCATAGAGATATAACTCAAAAAGAGCGATTCGGAAGCTTAGGACTACTTGAGATAGAGCAAGAACTTGGATTATTTTTATCTCCACTAAGGGGTAATTATATTGCAATTAAATGGTGACACGACAAATATTTTAGTTTTTTAAAAATTAAATTGTAGCAAGGACCATTAAATTATGATTCATTCGGCTCACTGTTAAAAACGATTGTTACGTCAACAAACGATTATCACAGGGCCTGCTGCCTTATGCGCGCAAATTTTCACGATGACGTCCGTCTCCCAAAAGATGGTCGGTATTTTTGCATAGTCACCGTCTTTCGTCAGAACGTGAGTTCGGAATCGATCGATCAATCAAAATTACTGCAATTTTTTTCCTTTGCTAAAAGGTTCCCTTTATTTTTAGAAACTTGGACGTCACGAATATTTTTTTTTTATTTATGACTCAAAAACTAATAATACAGAAATTAAGCAGCGAGCTTAAAAAAATATAGCATAATAAAGCATTTTCCATACAGAATTAAAACTCACGAGATGTTTAATTGAGTGTAAAAAGTAAGAAAATCCACTAGATCTCCTTACAAGTGCGAATCTTCTCTATATTCAGTGAAACTCGTATTGCAGTGAATCCACATCAAGTACTCGTTGTAAGCTCGTTTGGAATTTTATTAAATGAAATTGTAAAATGATACGAAAAATTTCACACCTGCACCTGTAATTATGTTCAACCAAATCAATTTTACAAAATTTGAGATATGAATCAACCAATAATCATTTACCAAAATTAATTTTTTCGATTGACAAGTCATTGCGTTTGGGTAAGATTACAAGAGGATTCTGATCTAGATTTATTTTACATTTTGCAGCTCACAATAAGTTTACAGAATTCTACTCTGTAAGTTTTGCCTCCGCAGTTGATAAATTTCCATAACTGGGTAATGGTCTTGCGGGAAATTTGCGTTTGATTGTTGTTTTTATAAGTATTACCGCCAAAATTTTAATGAATAAATGAAAGTTTGTTGCCGTAGCGTTTTGATTAATCGACACTTTAACGCCAAGATTCAACGAGGCCTTGCCACTCTATTTTTTTTAACAGTATAAGTTTTTTTGCTCTTCTGATGTTTAGTGTTTTCATGCAATACATTTAATAAGCACGCGCATTTCCTCGACTAAATCCTTCACCACCATCCCCAGTCTCTTCTAAATGTCACGAAAATGTCCATTAAAGCGTGAAATGACTCGCAGTATCTCACTTTCGTGTACGCAAGCAGCTCATGCCGTTCGAATATTTAATTATTTGCACACGTGGGTAAGGATCCATACAACGTCTCGAGAAAGATCAAATGCGGAATTCTGGAGTCGCGGGCGTTTGACGTGGCCAAGCAAAACTCGTCGCGATCCTTTGCGATCGCCTCACTGGCCTACTTTCGATGGAGAGCGCGGGACTGTACAAAGTGTGCATGCATACATGCGTATGCTCATAGATGCTCGCTGAAAAGCCGATTCACGAATTCACGATCGCCTGCTTTTATCCGAGAAGGTGTGATAAAATCCTGTCCGCACGACGTATCGTAAGTTGTGGAAATTATTTAATTGACTGTGCTACGTACCTCGTAGAGCATTCCCAATGAAAATATGACTTGGAAGGCGTTGTAAGCCACGAGCGTGTTTCTCAATTGAAACGGCTTGCGGTTGGCCATCAGCCGTGGCCCGAGAATCGTGACACTGTAGAGATAGGAGACGACGATGAGGAAGGTCGGTATCGGCGAGTCCATGAGCGGCCAGTCGCTGACCCTCGGGTCCGAGACCGTCGTGAGGATTTCCGTGTACTGGTCGAGGGCCATGCGCACGAGGCCCTCGGCCCCGATGAACGTCAAATTAGCGTCGACGACGATGTCGCTGCGCGGCTCCGGCTCGCGCTCCGCAACCAGCTCAGCTGCCGCCGACGCCATCTTTCAAAAATCTGCAACAAGACGCAATTACATTATTTCAAATTCTCTTGATAACCGCAGTCGATAATTAATCTATGACTCATCATCTCAATTTTACATTCGTTCGAAAGCGTCGAAAGATGCTTCGCATGAATTCCCGCACGGAAGTGATCGTCACATCCTTTTACGAGCATTCCGAGCTAGAAATTCAAACATAATCGACTGCTAGAGCTGTGAAATTCGCCCGTCTTTCTTTCCTTTTTTAAATCTAGCTTTCATCATAATTGACAAGCCTTGCTGTGGTGTGTCATTAAAGGATCGAATTACGCAAGTTTGAATATGTTATTACTCGAAAAAGTTCAAGTTTCCTTAGCCTAATAAAATTTCGATATTTTAAAACTTTTACGCTCCCCGACGATATGGCCATGCGTACCTATATGCATGCGTACTTCTTGCATCACGTCTTAATTAAAACAATTCAGTAATTCGCGTGCACAACCCCGCTGTCTTACGATATCGCGTATTCAATGTCGTTCGGATTCAATCAAAATATAGCCAAGCATTTGATTTGTAATTTTGCCTTGTAACTGGAATATTGCGCGTTTCAGTCTTACATTCTCTTTTTCGTAAACTCGGGCTTGCGTACACTCGCACCTTAACTAATCCATTTTGTCAACAACAATATTATTAAATTTGTTCCATCGCTTTTCGAAACGATCGAATTTTCGTTTGTACCTATGATACATCATACAATTTTCAAACGAAATTTCGATCTTTTTTTCTTATTTATTTTAGAATTTTCACCATATTTTTCTCCGAATTTTTATAAATTGATTATTAAAAAAGTATCGAAGATGCTTATGATATGATCACTGAACAAAATCTGCTATTCAATACGTATAAATATTTATTGAATCTTTTTTGGAAAAATCGCGCTGTTTAAATGGCATTCGAACGGTCACAGAAAGGAAGTAAAAGTTTTTTTAACTCAAACCCGAAGGTCGACCAGACACGATCGAATACCTGAGTTTAATACAGCCTTAAGATACACGAGCAAAATCAAAGATGCTGCAAAGATGCCAATAATCTGGCTCGTTGGACAGACAAGGACTCACTAAACAACCTGTTATTTGTGTTCGTAAAAATGTATAATATTTTTCAGAGTATTGGTTCAAATTTAAGCTTCAATGAAAAATGTAATTCTGTGCACTACTTTTTTTCTTTGAATGAATGAATGCCTTTAAAATGTAATACAAAAATGAAAGTTCAAAGCATTTTTTATGCGTGAGCATCCTATAATATTTTAAGCATTCAGCAGTGTCGAGCAGTTCGCTGTGTTTTACTACTTGCGGGTTTGATCATGGTAACTGTATTGAATGCATAAAATCAACGAGACATATACGATTTTTCAAAGTAAATTTCAATTCAAGGCTTCTGATTAATTTTTTTTAACTAAATGTTAAAATTTCGCTTAGTCAGATTACATAAATTTTATCATAGATTTTTTCCTTGTCGCAGCGATTTTTCTTAAATAAAAACACGCTTATGAGACTATTTTTGATATTGGCTTATATACATAGTCACGTGAATATCGTGGGTTTCGGAATAAATTTGAATATTAGTTTCATTGTGCATACACGATGGATTTTTTTAATGAAGAAATCAAATACAGACCACAAATTTTGGTCATACACGTTAGCTTTAAATGATCTTTCGACGTTTTCTTTTAATATATGAGTACTTTGCACATGTCTGTGCGTTAAAGCAAAATCTGCTTTTGATCACATTGACGCTTAATTCGTGACTTTGGCCGATTTCGCTTCTTATTACAGGCAAAAGTCATCAAAGCGCTCGAAAGTGTCGGTCTTTACCTAGCATTCATCATAATTATCATCTGATTCAAGTTTCTAGTCTACTTGCGTTGCGCAAATGCAGCCGTGCTAGATAAAAGAAATTATCTGCAAGCAAAAAGCTATCTGTGAGAATTTCAAGTAAATATATTCGTCTGAGCAATACCAAAACTTTAACACAATATTCACTTTAATAGATGTCGTTAGTTCACATCGATTGAATCAATCTATACACGTTTATAACCGAAATCAGTGTGCCATATCAATCGCGTCGCGTCACAACTGTTTGTTACGAGTCAATCAAATCAATTATGTTTGGACGAGAAATAGAAATTAAAATCTTCAGCAAAGAGAAGAAAAAAGATGATTCTCCCCCAATTATGGATAAAAGTCCGAAGATTGCACGCCGAGCCTCAGCGAAAACTCCCCGCAGGCCAATAGTGAAAGATATTACGGAGTCGGAAACTTTATCCGACGGATCACCGGACCATTGTTATATTTCCTGGTCCGATAAAACACAGAAGGAAATCAGTAAGCACGAACTCCTGGATTTTAAAGACTTTTTAAATAAATGTGTGCACCCGCTGTTGACAACCACGGATTTGAGTACTCTACAGAGGCAACAAATTTTTTCTCAGATTGATAATTTTCCAAGTTTGAAGATTACCCCAGAGAAAAGATTTCCGATAGGAAAATGGTACATGGACGCGAATCACGGTGTGGCTGCTAATTATTTAAATGATATGTTGGCTGCTATTGAACTTATGGAGAGGATACCGAACTCGCGGGATACAATTAGGACAGTACTATGTAACGCGAAACTATTACAAGATATACCGCTGGGCGACGAAAAAATTCGAAACTTTGAAAACTGGGGCTTATATAATCGATCAATTTTCGAGACCAAACACAGTCTAATCTGGAGCAAGGATTATCCAAATTTGAAAATAAATGTCGTACCTCGTAAAACTGCGAATGATACGAAACCTCAAAAAATAGACACGACTACTTCCGAATTATCCCACACAGCTCATGGAACCGAAATAGTCGAAGCTAGAAGAGCCGAAGAAAATGAGCCCGATAAACAAAAAAAGGTGTCGAGTCCTCGTCCATCTTCTCCTACTCCAGGAAAAAATGCTGCAAATAATGATATCGTACAAGGAGAGGTCGCTAGTAAATTAATTTTGCCTGAAAAAGATGAAACTTTAATGAAAAACACACATCAAGGGACGAGAAAAATTCAGAAGCTGTTAAAGGTGAAAGGACCCAGGAGCAAAGAATACTTAGGTAAAGGAAAGATTCATTGAAACAAGAAAAGACGAATTGCAAATTGTCCAATAGACGAAATCTTTTATCTAGAAACTATTCAACGGAACCTGAATCTTCGCCCTATTCAGGACGAGTTTCATCAACTGATGAAATTGAATCTAAAAATGCTTCTAATTGGGAAGAAAGTAAAAATATTGCATCTAGTATTATACATGATGTATTATTACCTACGGGTTTTATTAAAGTAGCTGAAGATGAATCAGCTGCAAAAAGTAAACCATCTGATTGTTTGAATTATCCTCAAAAATCGTCTTCCTTGGATCCTACAGCAAAATCACACTCAGTAGTTTGCCGTATACCATTAGCAAAATTAGAAGACATCAGTTTTCTCCTTCAAAGAGACAAACTCATTGAGGGTCTGTCATTACCTTATTCTCTACCTAGTTCGAGACAGAGCTCGTCAGATACTCCTGCAGAAAATGTCTCTCAATTGAAAAGAAAAACGAGCCAAGATGATAAACTATCTGAAAATAATAATATGACGCCTCCAAAACAGATACCTACTAAGAAGTCACCTTGAAGAGGTGATTGACTATTGGATTTATTTTTGTTTATCATGACTGAAACTGCTTTTTATGTAATGTGAAATCAAATTTATCTATTTACAAATTCTCAATAAAATTTCTGAGTTATAAATATTCTGGTTTCATTTCTGGGATTTTGCGGAAAAAATCTTTCTCTTTTTATAGAAAAATATAGAATTCGAAATTTATATCTGTAGAAAAATGATGTTTTTCAAATGATTTGATATTTTTAAACTGCAACTAACGAGATGATATCCGAGAAAAGGTAAAGAATTAGCAATTCTTGACATTTCAAGGTGCTGTTTATCTTTGGTTTATTTTAAATCGGTAATATATGTTTAATTCTTTTCATTTATTTCGCAGAGTAACTTTGCAGTTTACATTTAGGTTGTACTGCATTACATCCTTATTAATTTAAATGAAGTCCTGAAATTTAAAAAAAATTTTAAAATAATTATTTTTGAAATAACTTTCTTCTGTGCAAAAGATTGAAAATTTTAATAAATCGACCCCTTTTTTCTCCTTTCACCACCAATTATCACGTCTTTCAAATATTTGTGCATTAGGCATGGTACATTCACGTACACTTTCTCTATCGGTGCACAGGACGTCTTGAATAATGTGTCATTCGCGTAGCTCTACCTCTAAGCAACTAAGCCATACGTACCAATGCATCATGGTTTTGCACAGCATTTTTTCAACATTTCGCATGTCCGGGTACGTTTGGTGTGGGTGAATTTCGTAAGAAATGGTCGCAATAGTGATGCAATAGGTGATAATGTTATTTTACACATGGTGAACATTTGCCAAGCGACTAATCAACTGCTTCGCATAATCATCTGCGCAAAATATTGGATTTTTTTCTATTTAAAATTGAATAATCAGAATGATTGTAACAAATGGCGCATTACGATGTCCACGTGGTACGAAAATGAGAAAGTCAGTTTTCTTTTTTAAGCTTCTGCACTGTCAGCGCTCGTTTTTGGACAATAGATGCGATGAGTTAATAACGAAAAGACTTGCTAACGATGCAATTGGTTGCGCAAAAACCAGTGCGGCTGCATATGTATAGGTTATTCATAAGAGTCTTGTGAGCATTCAATTATCGTCACCGAGTAAACCCTGGACTTTGTCGACGAGACGAATTTGCGGACAGTCTCCCGATCGAATGCTGGCGTTACTCATGCAATTGTATCATTGGGCAAATTGGATGAACGCTATTTGGAATTTTACTGCCTCTTCCGAAAGGGCTAATTCATCTTCATTGTGATTCTAATCGCTCACGCATTTTTCAAGGCGTGTCGCGTTGCCGAACCATATTTGCTTTGA